AACGCGGGGGTTTACAGAGTGGATTACCTAATACACGCGAGTGTGATTCTTGACTATGCTCGATAAAGGTTGATGTTGAGTGCTTCTTGCTCGACTTTTCGTGCCAACGAGTTGCTAACAAGCTGGCTGCAAAGCTCGTGTGAGCTGGTGCACTGCGAGCTTACCCCAGTAGGTCATTACTCTGCATGACTGCTTGGCCACGGGAGTTAATAAAACGAAGTAGTTTTAGTAAAACAACGCAAGTTTTAGATCAGCCAATGACAGAACGGTGGGGAAGCTTACTTTTACGTCGAGTGCAACTTCAGTTTAGGTTAAACTTTGGATGGTTTTAGGAGCTAAAACAACGGGCAAAATATGTGAAAAGCACAATACTGTACAGTACTTCGAAGTAGTATTGTGCTATCCGGTTAACAGCTGTAAACTTGCCAAATTGTGATCCATTGGCGGTCCCCCAAAAGTCACATAAACGCAACCACAAACACCGCACAAGGCAAACACATGTGGTGACACAAGCGTTACACAGACTTGGTGAGACATCACTGATGTCTCACCAAGTATGTGTTTGTGTCGAGTGGTGCGCGAACTGGAGTTCTTCACGTGTTTCGAGATTTCTCTGCGTCCAACAACTTGGACAGCCAGCAGGACGGTAGAGACCAGTCATTTTTTGGTTCCCGACCATCCTGCTAGCAATCCCATTTGATGAACGCACGGAAGCCACGAACCAAGTCGAAGGACTTCTCATCTGAGGAGACGACGCGGCTCCTGGACCTCGTCGAGGAGTTCAAGCCCATCGGCGGCAACATGTGGGACCGTGTGGCGTTCGAATACAACCGTACTGGGGGTCCCCCAAAAATCACATAAACGCAAACACAAACACCACACAAGGCAAACACATGTGGTGACACAGGCGTTACACAGACTTGGTGAGACATCACTGATGTTTCACCAAGTATGTGTTTGTGTCGAGTGGTACGCGATGTGGAATTCTTCGCGTGTTTCGAGATTTCTCTGCGTCGAACAACTTGGACAGCCAGCAGGACAGTAGAGACCAGTCATTTTTTTGTTCCCGACCATCCTGCTAGCAATCCCATTTGATGAACGCACGGAAGCCACGAACCAAGTCGAAGAACGTCTCATCTCATCTGAGGAGACGACGCGGCTCCTGGACCTCGTCGAGGAGTTCAAGCCCTTCGGCGGCAACATGTGGGACCGTGTGGCGTTCGAATACAACCGCACTGGGCTATCGAACTGGCCAGAACGCGATAGTATTAGTCTGAGGCACCACTTTCAAGGCTTGAACAACAAGACGAAACCAACAGGGACAGTGTACTGCCCTCCCAACATTGAACGCGCCAAGCGCCTATATTCGGCTATTGAGTCCAAGGTGGGTGCGATGGAGCTTCACGACCAACAAGAATTTGGCGACGCTGCAAGTGAGCGGTCAGATGCTGGGTCCGACGGCAACATCCCACAGGAAGTCTCGGAGGCTGTTGAGGAGCTTGTGGTTTCCTCTCGGATCGGCACGGACAAGCCCATGCTGTCGATGGCTGCTCAGCGTCGCTCTTCGTTAGACAACTCCATCGGAATGAATTCGTGCATCTTGTTCCTTTTTCAAATCACTTTATTTCAATTTCACTTATTTTGCCCGGATTATTTTCCTAATAATGTTCTTTATTTAGCTAAGCTCGCCGCTGCGTCTGAAAGCGCACCACCATCGGT